TATCTATCTATCTATCTATCTATCTATCTATCTATCTATCTATCTATCTCTATCTATCTTTCTATCTATCGTCTATTTGGCTATCTAGTGCTAAGCATAGTGCTGGACACAAAGTAGGGCTCATTAATGGATATTTTTATTTTAGTGACTAAAATCGAATTCTAATAAGAATCTGACTATTAGAATTTGGGAGAGAAAACAACATTGTAGTGATGTGCCCCTGTAACACTGCTCAAATTAGGAGAGGGAAAGTAGAAACCAGTGAACAGAGAATGAGCGGTCAAGTTGGTTCTAATACCGACAGCACAATGCATGTGAGCATGTTCCCTCCGTTGTCCCTCCTGGGAGTTCCCTTCATAACACCTGCCCACTTCAGCCCTGGAACTCAGGAGGAGCTAAGCGCATCCACAGGTCCCCAAGTGCCTTACCTGCCGAGAAAGTGCAGTACTTAGCGTAGTTAAATACAAGGCTCCAGGATTCTTTGAACCCTCCATACATCTGCTAAAGAAGTCCTGGTGTGTCCCTAAATTTCCAAGACTTTACCTGTCCTAGAGTTCAACACCTCTGCCTTTATCCTTAACTACTCAAATGCAGGCAAATGCATTTTGAACCCCTTGCTTGTTCTCTGCTTTAGGCATGCATATAAAGATAAAATGTTTTTAGCTATTCTCTCCTAAGGCTTTCCATTTTGATTTTCTACATAGTTTTTCTCTCTTTCTTTTTTTTAATCAGAAAATGGAAGCAGCCACCCAGGGAAACGGTATGTAGAAGGCAAAGATCTGAATAAGCAGCCAGGGTGGGGGGATCCACTTTGTAAATCCAGCTTGCCTTTGTGTTGCATTGTGAGTCATGCTGGGGCTAACTCACATGCACATTTTTAACATCACATTCACAGAAATGACATTGCACATGGCTTTGTTTGCACTTGTCTCATCTCTAAAGGACCAGGCACCCCGAAGGCAGAAACTATTTCCTATTTAGCTTGAAAATGACAGTTATTGTTTAAGCATGGTTGCATAATATACTACACAGAAGGGTAACCTAGGATTTCTATTAGATTTTAGTTCCCACATCCAGTTTGAGCTTTCTTGTGAGACTAACTTATGTGGGCACCTCAGCACTCCAAGGGGGAGGGGGCATAGTACGTCCACAGGAACACAGGGACGGGAGACGTTTTCACAAAGTGCCTTATCAGTTCAGGCAGAACCTGGAGGTGGTGCTGAGCTCCACAGGGTCGGTCCCAGAAAGGAGCCATTAGGGCAAAGGAGAGATGACTGCTGCCGAGGCAGCTACAGAAACAAATGGCCTTCACCGAGGCACAGCGAGAGCGAGCTACGAGTGTGCATGGGGAACATATTAAATAAGGCTGGGTGGTGCCTGCCTTTAAGGAGTTTCACGTTCAACTTCTTGGAAGAACCTTTTAGGAGCAAGTGTTTATTTATTTATTTCTTAAATACAGTAAGTGCTGAAACCAACACCAAGCTTCTAAGCTACTAATGCATTCTAGGAACAGTAATAATAACAACTGTATTTTATTTAGCACCTACTCTACTATCTGTCAGCCACTGGATTCGTCATTTCATTTAATATTGACAACAATCTATCAGGTTAATGTTATTGACTCCATTTCACAGATGAGAGAAGTAAGACTCAGAGGATTAGGCAACAAGCCCAAAGTACCATAGGCAGGAAATGGTAGATGGGGATTTGAGATGAGGCTGGACTGACCCCAAAGTCAGTACTCTCCTAGCTGCCACACGTCATTGCAGGAGATGTGTCAGGCCCTGGAAGCTGCTGCCAGCGACAGGGAGGATGAAGACTGGGAGCCTTACGTCTGGGGGGAAGGGTCTCCTGCCCCCCTTGCCCCCCTTGCCCCCCAAGTCCGAGCGTCCGTTGGCCCTTAGGGAGACGAGACAGATGGTGGTCTTTTGTATGTTCTTTCCTAAGGAGAGCAAATAACAAGGTCTTTCTTCAAAACCTGGTGAGGTCTTCAAAGAGAATTAAGTTGTCATTACAAACCGAGGGGACAGCCTGCAAGTTTTCTCCAAGAAAAAAATACATTCATAAGATAACAAGGAAACTTCCCACATGCAAACCTGAGCACTGTTCATAGGAGAAAATATGAAGGCTTGGAAGAAGCAAAGCTCTTGGCAAAAGGGAAAGGATGTGAGAGATGAAGGTGCAAAGAAAGAAAGAGAAGAGAGGATAACTATGGAATGAAGGCGCCCCTAATATCAGAGACAAAACGCAGGTTATCAAACCCCCGAAGAAGAGAAGCATTTCTGGAGAAGGAATTTTAAGATGACCACGTGGGATAATTAAGTGAGACCCGAGGATATTCCCATGGGTAGGCATAACCTATTCAGTGCAGGGGGCAAGATTCGGGGAATGGGAGCATCTTGACCGGAGTGGGACTGGCTCGCTCTCTCTCTCGGTGCCCCACACAGAGCGGAATTCCCCCCAAAGCTTCCTGCCACGCTTACGGAGTATAGCGAAGCCAGTGCGCTGCCCCCAATCCCAGAAAAATACTGCTGCTCATTTCCTGCTGCTTCCTCAACCAGCTCCACAAACCTCGGAAGCAGTCGCAGCCCTGCCGGGCCATTCTTGCCGAGACTGGCAAGCACTATACGAAGCTGGAGAGAGAGGTGCTCCATGATACAGCCTTCCTGCAGGTGGAATGCAAGCGTTAAACACTACTCTTTCTTGTGTACTCGGGAATTGTCCACGCAAGAAAAACTCCTCCTTTCGCATCATTGCACCGTTTGAAATAATCATTTAATTTTTATATTAAAAATATTTCGGAGACAAATAAGGCTGTGTGAATCACTGCTTCTAAGGGGCAGCACTTAAACAGGGTGACTTATTTTGGTTACTTCAGAGATGTCACATCATCATCACAATCTAGATAGGAATGACAAAAGTTGCCTCTATTCAAAAAAAAATATTAAGCTTAAAACAATTGTCAAAGAAGGTCGTGCCAACATAAGGTATACAAATGTGGATAAGTGGGTATTTCTGAGACCGGAACAAACATTTAATTTCATTTTTGTTTTAGGCTGGCTATATGACGGCAGAAAAAAAGAAATGAAATAGAAAATGCATACGGAAGTGGGTGGCAGGGACACCAACACCTGATGACATATTAAACCGTGTTATATGACATATTGTTATTCCTGTGTTTTTGTACACAGGTGGGATTTGCAGACCAGAACAGATGGGAATTCCCTACATCCTCCTTCATATGCATTAGAGGCCAGGCAAGGATGGTCTGGCACCTGTGGGTTCTCTGTTAGCTCCCATGCAGAGCAAAGGAACACTCTAGAAAAGAAATCACAGATGGAATGGGGATGAGGGGGAAACCTTCGATCTGAAAGATTTTTAAGAGTAAAACAGTCTTCAGTTAGTTCAAGTAACTGAAACTTTGGGGTACCCTTGAGAGGACTTAGGAGTAAAAAAGAAAACAAGAAAAAAAGAGAGCTGCTAATCATAGCCAAGGCCAAGGTGGAAATTAACATCGACTATAAAAATGGGACTTGAAAAGCCCTAAATATCACACTGTTCTCATGACCCCATCGTCTTCTCTTACCCTCTTTATCCAGGTCAATATGTCCAGCAGAATCCCTGCCACACACAGACTGCTTAATAACTATTTATTGAATGGAAATGAAGATTTTCCATGAAGCCTTTCCATCAACAAGACTGAGTTATCAAATTCATTGCCTCCTAATTTCTTGATTATCTCAACGCCAGTGACCCACCCTGCCTCCCACTTCAGCCACCCAATCCCACTGCCCCAGCCTGCACTTACAACCACCCAGGACTGTGCTCCCTCTGAAACTCTCTTTCTGTCCCTCTTTCCTGCTCTGTTGGTTCTTTCACCCCTCTCCAGTCTCAACCTGTCACTTTTTCCCAGGAGGTTCCTTGAAACCAACCCCTCACAACTGACCCAGACACTCACAACTGTGATTCAATTCTGTAATCTTCCCCTTCTGATCCTCCACTTGTACTGAAATACTGAGGATACTCTCACAACCATTCATATAAAAGCTCAAAAGTCATGATTCACCTTTGTACTTTCGTGCATCAATCTTTATTTTGCTCTGTGTTCTGTTCCTTGGCTATGGATGAGTATAACCTGTTCAGTGCAGGGTACAAGTCTCAGAAAATGAAAGCTTTTGCTCCCATTGCAAACATTTTA